CCAAACCTTAAACAATAGACCCTAAACCCTAAACCCTAAACCCCTAAACCCCTAAACCCCCAAACCCCTACACCCCTAAACCTTAAACCCTAAACCCCCCTCTTTCTCAGAAAAAGCTCGTGGTTGGGACGGTACACTGAGCAGACGGCACGAGATCCAGACCATGCCTTGGACCCACGAAACGTAGAAGTCTATTTTTGAGTTTAGGGTGTAGGGTTTAGGGTTTAGGGTTTGAGGTTTTCGGTTTAGCGGTTCCTTAAAAGGGATCTAAGCCTTTACGAAGTATAGTAGGTAGCAACTCTTTAGGGAAGCTAAGCTTTGCCGGAGTATACTTCGTAACTTTTTACGGCTTAGGGGTTCCTTGAAGGGAATTTAGGCGTTTGTGAATTATGACCGAACTAGCTTTTTAGCGTTTCGGGTTTAGGGCTTTTCTTCAAGCCCATTGTTCCGACTCGCTACAGTGTCGCATAGGCCAAAGCTTAAAGTTTAGGCCGTAGAGTGTAGGGCTTGATACTCAGAGAGTTTTGGGTTTTAGGCTTTGGGTTCTGGGTTTAAGGTTTTGGTTTAGGGTTTAGGGTTTAGGGTTTAGGGTTTAGGGTTTAGGGTTTAGGGTTTGGTGTCGGTCCTTGTTTCGGTGTTCTAGGTTGACACATTTGCAACTTCCCGTGGCCAAGCACTACGTGGCACAGTCACGTCGTCAGAGAGGCTCAAAGAGGCGAGATGAGGCAGTCGACAAAACAAAACGGGTTTAGGGTTTAGGGTTTAGGGCTTGCGGCCTAGAACGCACCTTTGAATGCTATATTAGCCCCCTCTTCACACAAACACACACACACACACACACGCACACATGTACAGAGTCCAATACTAGTACGAGTGTCAGAGCCTGATACATTGAGATGGCAACATGTTCTGTGACACCACAGACTGTATCGCGAAGGTCCACATATATATATAGAGAGAGAGAGAGAGAGTCAGATTATAGAATTACTATAGTCGTACGGTTATCGCCTTATCATAGTGTCAGCATGGCCTTATTATTATTACTACTACTTCTATGAGTTATATTCTTATGACTATTACCATTCTTATTAGTACTCTTGTTGTTGCTATTATTGCTACTACTATTGCAGCAATCTAACCTACGGAGCTTGGCACACGATCGGTTGACTGTAAACTTTGCCACCCCAATCCTTCCGATACTAAGTGTGCCTTCGAGATTTCGGAAGCGAGGGCGGGTTGCTGTGCTTTGCAAACGAGTTTCCCTCAAATTGGATCAGGTGCAATCTTATCATCCGAAAATACTGGTACTATAGTACAACTACAACAGTGAGTAGTGTTACAATGAGACGATAATTATTTTTTACTACCCCTGAACCCTTAACCCTAACAGCCTTAAGCCTCTGACTGCTCCTCTGCTGTTAATGGCGCCATCTCTCCCTCGTCCTCCACACGGACACAGGAGCGGCCTCAGATGATCGTTCAGGTCTTCGGGGGTGGAGGTCGAAATGAGCCCAAAGTGCAGAGGGAAGCCAACAGTCTCAGCTCTTCACAGAGAAGCCGGTCGCCTTTACTTCTCGCCAACTCCTCAAAACGGCACTTCTCACCTCTCTCCCAAAAACTTACATTCAAGTCAATCGGCTGATGGACAAAATCCTGCATGACCTTATATACTTAAACTATGGGATTTATGGTACTATACTATATTTGGGTCATGCAGAAATTTTGTCCATCAAGAGCTTGAATCCCTGTGAACCTTCGTCTCTCTGGAGCAAACTTTGCAGGCGGCAATGGGACCTGCCATCCGCGCCTCACGAAAAGCAACGCAAAGCTTGCTTTGGGTTTAGGGTTTAGGGTTTAGAGTTTAGGGTTTTGGGTTTGGGGTTTAGGGTTTCGCCAGGCTATGCTGCGACAACAACCCTCCAGCACATTCTAGGGGCCATAATAATTTTAATAGGGTCTTGGGGCCCATTATACTATACTTATAATAAGGAAACCCCAGAATAGTATAGGTAATTATTTAGACCCCTACACTACAGAAACCCTCAACCCTACAACCCTAAACCCTAAACCCCTAAACCCTAAACCCCTCAAGCCCGAAACCCTACAACCCTAAAACCCTAAAACCCTAAAACCCTACAACCCCAGAACCCTAAAACCTTAAACCCCTAAACCCTAAACCCTTAAACCTAAACCCTACAACCCTAAACCCTACAACCCTAAACCCCAAACCGCCTGCGTTCCGCGCGTGAGCAGCTTGGGCCTGGATGAGCCTCGATGACAACGGGCTCAGAGTTTCGGCCGGCTTAGGGTTTAGGGTTTAGGGTTTAGGGGTCTAGGGGTTTAGAGTTTAGGGTTTAGGGGTTTGGGGTTTAGGGTTTAGCGGTTTCGGGTTGGGGTTTAGGGTTTAGGGTTAGGGTTTAGGGTTTAGGGTTTTAGGGTTTAGGGTTTAGGGTTTAGGGTTCAGGGTTTAGGGTTTAGGGGTTTAAGGCATTACGTAGGAGCCTTAATAATTAGAATAGGGCTTAGGGGCTCCCTTATAGTATAGCTATAATAAGGAACCCCCCAAGAAAATGTAGGTAAGTGTTTAGGCCCCTACATTCTAAAGCGTGTCTTGGCTTGCGTTTGACTTGGAGTCTGATTTTGGGGTTTAGGGTTTAGGGTTTAGGGTTGTTGAGGATCACTTGGCGCAGGGCTGCAGCTCGTCGGTATGGGCACATCCTCATCGCCTCGTCGCCCACATCAAGTCACAGAGTAGCGCCTTCTATCACGGCTCGGCAGAGCCAAGGATCAGGCTCAAACTTTTGCCCTCCCATGGAGAGAAGGTGCACCTGGGACGGGGACCACACAAACTTGTCATTATCATTATTACTACTAAAACTATGATTATGGCTATTACTCCATCACAAACAACCCGTCCGAGCAACTGAGGACTCTGCAAGCAGCTCAGACCAGAGGTACACACTCCCATGCATGGAACGGAGCGCCGCACAAAGCGGCTGGAACAGTAAAGATTGGCCTTGAAACAGCAAGCTTGCTCCTTAATCGACGTAACTAGTAAAGCAGTTGTGAAGATTTCTATTCGAAACATGCGCAAGGCAGATCGACTTGAAGTTTGCAGCATGCTGCATAAGTTTTTGGTCCTGTCAGCCAACAGCTCAATGAACAAGCACAATCTTGCAATGCTTGCATATATTCGCCTCGGCCCCCGGCCGAAGCGGTCAGAGGTCATAAATGCTCATTGAATTCTTCATACAAATATTAATACCATTATCATTAGTACCATCGATAACATTCTTAAGTTGTACATAAACACATATATGTACACACTTATATATATATATATAGATATACATATACATGTATGTATCATGCTACATGACGTAGGCCTCACAATCGCGCAATGCCCTTAGCTGGCGTCCCTCGAGGTCGACCCGGTCGTTTGGAGCACCCGGTCCAAAGAGACGAGCTGCCTTCAGGCCGGGAAGGCTCCAGGTCATTTTGGGGTTTAGGGTTTAGGGTTTAGGGTTTAGGGTTTAGGGTTTAGGGTTTAGGGTTTAGAGTTTAAGGGTTTAGGGCAGCTAGGGGTTTAGGGCTTAAGGGTAGAAGGCTTTAGGTTTGGGGTTCAGGGCAGTTAGGGTTTAGGGTTTAGGGTTAAGGGTATAAGGGTTTAGGGTTTAGGGTTTAGGGTAAACCATAAACCCTAAACCCTAATTCCAAGGCTTCCGCTTCTTCTGCGCAGCCGAGATCAGCTTCATGGTCACCACGAACTCCTGCACCGGTTAGTGAGAATATCCTCTTGTAGTTTTAGGGCTTAGGGAGAATATTCTCTAGCAGTCCCCAAGTATGATGAATGCATCATATATCCACAAGCCCGATTACTAGTTCGAAAGCCACTCATATTGGCGCTTCGTGACATGCTGCAAAGTCCCGGCACAAGGTCTGGGTTTAGGGTTTAGGGTTTAGGGTTTAGGGTTTGGGGTTTAGAGTTTAGGGTTTAGGTTTTGGGTTTAGGGTTTAGGGTGAATGGCTGCGACAGTCAATCGATTTATTCGCGACTCTATTTCCGAAGGTTTTGACCAGCAGATGCGGCGGCAAAGTGGCTTTTCAAAGTTGAAATCAACCCGTAATGCGAAAACATGTTGCCATTGTAGTCAACAAAAGACAAATATCGGGATGGCACAATGTGAGGCCGTCAGCACCGCACTGTCGGGGCAACCGCTAGCAACAAGGCGCTCCCCACCATGTGGAGACGCATGTCTTCCGGCAACCAGTTCCTTTGCAGAAAGGCACCTTTCCGCCACCCAACGACCAAAGAGCAAAAGCCCTAAACCCTAAACCCTAAACCCTAAACCCTGAACCCTAAACCCTAAACCCTGAACCCTGAACCCTGAACCCTAAACCCTAAACCCAAGCCAAGACTAACTTCCTAACAAATCCAGGACAGGGGATGACGTCAAGACACAAAACCGGTGACCAAATGCCAGTTACTGTACTCCAAACCCTTCAAGTTCCAGAGAATGAAAGACCCGAATAGACCTATATCTCTATCTGCTTATCTATCTACCCATCTGTCTACCTATCTACCTACCCACCTACCTACCTCCCTTCCTACCTACCCTTCCTACCTACCCTACCTATCTATCTATCTGTATGGTGCTCTTTTACGGGGATTGTAAGGGTTGTTGAGGGCACTATAAGGATCTTCAAGGGCTTAAGCATATTTGGTTTAGGGTTTAAATATATGCATCTGCTTATCTATCGGTGTGTGTGTGTGTGTACATACTTAAAGGATCATGGGACTTAGCAAGTAGGGTTATAACTAAGGTAACTATACTTACAACCCCACTTCAGGGACTTATAACCTTACTTACTAAGTCCCATCATCCTTTAAGTACCTTGAATCGAAGCCCTGAGGATGCAATGATCCTGAGCCTTACAGGGGCCTCCCAGCCGAGACCACGCTTCTGTCGGTCGGAGATGTCCCAGATTCGCTTCAGGATCTGGAGCCACAGAAAGGTGGGTTTGGGGTTTGGGGCTCCTTTAAGGGATCTGGAGCCACAGAAAGGTGGGTTTGGGGTTTGGGCTCCTTTTTCAGGGATCTGGAGCAACAGAAAAGTAGGTTTGGGGTTTGGGGCTCCTTTAAGGGATCTTTTCCTGGTTCCTTAAAGGGGTCTATCAGGGATCCTCAGAGGTATCTGTACGGGCTCCTTGAAGGGATCTATAAGGGTCTAGGGTTTAAAAAGGGGTGGGGTTTCTGGATCTGGGGCAACCGAAGGGCTCTTGGGTTTTGGTTTGTTGGGACTTCGGGTTTGGGGTTTAGGGTTTTAGGGGCTTCTAAATCCAGAACCCTACACGCAGAACCTGCTACAATATACGATCATATACTGCAGCAAACTATAACAGTTTACAGTAGGCTAAGTAGAATCTGACGGACTACATCGTATAGCCATATACTATAGTGGACAACGATAGACTAGAACAGACTGTAATAGACCATAACCCTAAACCCTAAACCTAATCCCTACACCCTAAATCCTAAACCTTAATCCGTGAACCCTTAACCCTAAAGCCTAAACCCGAAACCAGAACCCGACGCCCAAAGTCCTACACCCTGGACCCAACCCACCTTTCGGAATTCCTCACCCCTCCTCCACCGAAAGTGCAACGGTCATAGATTGCCATTATTCTTCCTCTTCGTCTTAGTAGTATTATTCTTACTAGTATATATATATATATATTATTATTATTACTCTTATGCTCGTTATATCATATTACTTTCTCGTTGGCATTATTCTTGTTATTTTTATTATGCGTATGGCTATTATTGGTACTATCCGTATTACTGTCACGATCATGCGTATTGTTGATACAGACACAAAGATCATGATAAAACCCGAAACCCTAAACCGCAAACCCTAAACCTTAAACCCTAAACCCTAAACCCCAAACCTTAAACCCTAAACCCTAAACCCTCTAACCCATGGTGCTGCAGAGCTGTCCAGGCCCCCTCTGCCGAACCAACGCCTCGACCTGAACCCTCAAAGCCCGAAACCCGAAACCCTGAAGCCTCCAAGCCTCAACCCTACACCCCCATGTAGGGTTTAGGGTTGAGGGTTTGGGGTTGAGGGTTTAGGGTTAAACCCTAAACCCTGCACCCTGAACCCTCAAAGGCTCGAAGCCCTAGACCCTAAACTCCCTAAACCCTAACCCCTAAACCCCTAAACCCTAAGCCCCTAAACCCCTAAACCCTAAACCCCTAAACCCCTAAACTGCTGAACCCCTAAACCCTAAACCCCTACACCCCTAAACCCTAAAACCCTGAATCCCTGAACCCTAAACCCCTAAACCCTAAACCCCTAAACCCCTGAACCCCTAAACCCTAAACCCTAAACGCCTAAACCCCTAAAACCCTAAAACCCTAAACCCTAAACCCTAAACCCCTAAACCCCTAAACTCGAAACCAAAGGCATCAAAAACCTTTGCCGGGCGGAACCTCGCGAGGCAGCTGCGACTTGGAAAGAAAGTCAAAAGCGGCCTGTGCGGGTTTGGGGTTTAGGGTTTAGGGTTTAGGGTTCGCCAGCAAGGCGCCCTAGCCACCTTTTGCTCTCTATAGGGCTGATGCTTAATCCCTAATCGCTTCTGCCCAAAAACCCAAAAAAACTTTCCAGAATCTCTCCAAGCCCCCAAATTTGCCTAAGTTCTGTTTTTTGCCTGATTTTTGGTTTTTTCCAGAACCCCTCCAAGCCCCCAGATTTGGCGTTTTGGACTTTTCCAGGGCTCCAAGGTTTTTCATTTCCAGACCCCCTCCACATCCCCAAATTTGGCTTTTTGGCCACACCCCCGCCCACGCCCGCCCGCGCCCGCGTCCGCGCCCGCGCGCATCGCAACCCGAGGATTTTTGCGTTTTTGAGCAAAAAAAGGAACGGCTCACATTTACATTCCAGCTGTGGATTCTGGCCGAAACCCAAAACGCGGGGGTCGAGGGCGCGCGCCCGCGCACGCATCGCAACCCGAGGATTTTTGCGTTTCTGGGCAAAAAAGAAGGGCTCACATTTACATTCCAGCTGTGGATTCTCGCCAAAACCCAAAACGCGCGCCCGCGCGCACCGCAACCCGAGGATTTTTGCGTTTTTGAGCAAAAAAGGAACGGCTCACATTTACATTCCAGCTGTGGATTCTGGCCGAAACCCAAAACGCGGGGGTCGAGGGCGCGCGCCCGCGCACGCATCGCAACCCGAGGATTTTTGCGTTTTTGGGCAAAAAAGAAGGGCTCACATTTACATTCCAGCTGTGGATTCTCGCCAAAACCCAAAACGCGTGCGCGCGCGCACCGCAACCCGAGGATTTTTGCGTTTTTGGGCCAAAAGGAAAGGCTCACATTTACACTCCAGCTGCGGACACTGGCCAAACCCTCTAAACCCCTTTCTGAACACCTTCCACGCTTTAAAACCACAACCCTTGCTGGCGCACTTCGGCCGCAGGCCTCTAAAATTTAGGGTTTAGAGTTTAGGGGTTAGAGTTTAGGGTTTAGGGTTTAGGGCTTGGGGTTTGGGGTTTGGGGTTTGGGGTATAGGGTTTTGGGTTTAGGCCTTGAAGCAGCCTGCACAACTCAATATGGGGCCCATATGGCTTCGGGTTTTGGGCTTATCTAGGGTTTAGGGTTTGGGGGTTTAGGGTTCAGGGTTTAGGATTTAAGGGTTTAGGGTTTAGGGGTTTAGGGGCTTAGGGTTTAGGGTTTAGGGTTTAGGGTTTAGGGTTTATACTGGGTTTTGGGCTTATTTTAGGGTTTAGGGCTTTATAGGGTTGGGCGCTGTGCGACGGGACAATGTCACAAACAAACTCTTGAGAAGTGTCTTGCGAAGCTGTTGGGATTCAGGGATGGGCGGTCCTTTCCAGCCAGCGTCTCACCGTTTGGACAGGCAATACCCCACAGAGTGGCGTAATACCTCGAAGGAAGCCACAAGGAAGCTGTCTGAGCTGGTTGCTCACCTGGGCCGCCGACCCTTTCTCCGCAGAACTCAGAGAGTCAACGACCAAAGCGAAGGCCTCACAGGGCTTCAGAGTTTAGGGTTCAGGGTTTAGGGTTTAGGGCTCAGGGTTCAGGGTTTAGGGTTTAGAGGGTTCAGGGCTTTAGGGTTTAGGGTCCAGGGTTTCGGGTTCCATGAGAAGTGCAGGTGCCGAAACCAGTGAAGCTGCAAGCCTGCTGGTCTTTGTCTGCACCAGGCGTCCTGGGATAAAGGACTTCGACTGGTCACAGGTCTTAGTAAAGGCAACTTTGAACCGAATTGTAGAGATCCGGCTAGGATGCAGGCGATGGCGGGGCTTGCGGCTGCTGCTGCTGCTGCTGTTGTTGCAGCTGCTGCTGCAACAACTGCTGCTGATGTTGCAGTTGTTGCATCATCACCATCTGCTGCTGCAACTCCGAAGGCATTCCTGCAGAGAAACATTCGCTCTGAGAGGTCCGAAACTTGAGAAAAGCCACCTGTGGCGAGGCCGGGCATGCCCTGAACCTTGCATAGAGCTGGTCGCAAGCTCCACTTTCAAACTGTTGATGGACAAAATTCTGCATGACCCAAATATAGTATAGTACCATAAATCCCATAGTTTAGGTATATAGGGTCATGCAGGATTTTGTCCATCAACCGAAGGACACATCCTCAGCAGCGGACTCCAGGCATTGCAGCTTGGAAGGACATCCCGCATCCTGTCAGCGAGTTCCAGCTGACATCAAAAGAAGCCAAGCAGAGAGTTGCAAAGGGCACCTCCATCAGGCATACCTCGGCCATTCCCAGACATCTTACATCGGTGACTCCGATGTCTTGCTCCGGTACTTCATCTTTTCGGAGAGTGATAATACAAATGCACCTAAGAAGCATAGAAACTCGGATGGTAAGACCAGAAAACCTACGTAGGCAATAACACGAAAAGCCACAGAGCGAGAAAACCATACCTGCAAGACTGATATACCAAAAAACGGAAACTGACCAAACGCAAAAACCAAAACAACTGCAAACACCACATACTTCAGAGAAGAAACTGAAATAGCAAGACCCGAATCATCAACCAGAGTAACTTTGACGATATTCAAGAAACATCGGCGGGCGGTTTGTGGTCGATTGTGGTCTTGCTCATTGCCTCATTTGCATCGCTTGTGTTTGGCGTCGCCAGCCCTGCGTCTGTCTGAGACAGGTCCCGGGAAAACATCGTTGTAACTTCTGTCTCTTCGTTGGTGTGTCTGTCCCTCTCTATCTCGTCTGTCCCTGTACTCTCTGATCTGTCTGGATTTCTCTCTGCATTCGTCTGTCTATGTGTGGGTCTCGGCGCCTGTCTTCCACTGTCTTGCTACGGCTGAGAGAGGCCAACAAAGGCCCAACCTCACGGACCCCCAGGCACGCATGTCCAAGTTTGATGCCACAGGCCAGTCGAGAAAAAGCGCGCGTGATAACCGATCCACACTCTGATTGGTAGCTAAACACTCTGATTGGTAGCTTGAGACTGCAAGGGCTTATTGGAAAGAAGTTTTTCTTGAGCAGGTGAGGCACTTTCTTTCCCCAGCACAATTTATTGTCGTTAAGTCGCAAGGCACTCCGTTCTCCGGGTCTCTGCCATTCTTTCTCGCTGTCCCTCGCTGTCTCTTGCTTTCACTCCTCGCATGCTGAAGCAAGAGCCTCCGGAGGTAGCTGCAGCCGCGGGCCTCCCGCGGAGACAACATGCGGGGCCCTTCTCGAAACATTACCGACGTTAGCAAGACGTGGAGGGGCCGCTGCTGGATGCCCACCATAGCTTGCGGGAAGGCATTGAAGTTGCCTGCATGCAATTGCATGGGTAGTTCTCTAAATCAGGGTGACCCCTTCCCCTTCGAACCTAAACATTAAAATCGCGAAACCCCAACCTTGAGCCCTAAACTGCTAGGGTTTAGTGTCGCAGCCTATGCTTCGATTCAACCTAGCCCCGACTGCGGTACTGCTCTCCTCACCCCGGGGAAATCCGGTCCATCCTG